CACACACACACACACACACACACACACACACACACACACACACACACACACAAAGAACTATTAGAGTCTAGATGTTACAAATCTGAAACTGTAAATTGTATGCATCTAGTTCCATTTCTCAACATAGGTTGTTGTCTGGTAGCAAGATTTGTTTACATTTTCAGCTGGTGTGGTTCGCTTTCACACTGCCCTGTGTCAAACAAAACTAAACCCTGCTGTGTACAACCTGTTTACCCCCTCACCTGTGGTGGCGCTGCATCAAGAAACATTGAAGGAAACAACACAAAAGCCTCTGAAGAAGACACTGAGCGCAACTTCCTTCTTCTGGAAATGTAAACAATCACAGAATGGCATCAGATTTTAATGGTTATAGGATTTCTCTTTTGTTTTTTTCTAATGTGCCAAACATGCACTTGTCAATTAAGGGCTCAGCATGAGTGGAAGATGAGCCAGAACCATGGCGAATGCTGTTTTTCACGCAAGGCGACTAGTAGTAGCGAATCCAGCTTCATAACAGGGATGTTGACCATATACAGATGTTGAGCATGGTGTATGAGTAATTATATTACTATTATTACTCAGAATGCCCTGTGCTGTAGTGTGCTTCCCGCGGTCTCAGGTCTGCTTGGCATTCACACATGCATCAGAGTTCGCTTCAACTGAGCTGAGACCTAGGTTTATAGGCGAACCAGCATTCGCTTTTTTGGTCCACATCACACCTCTCCAAAGGAAATGGACTTTCTAGACAAACAAACTAAAATTTGATTAAAGCAAACTAAACAGGGCTCATGTGAATACATCCCTAAAGACCTTTCTGAGAACCAGCTTGTCTTTCCACAGGCCACAAAACCTTCACAGAGGCAACTCTCTGCAAACATCTGGTACAATACCAGATTGCTCTTCATTTGTTTTAAATGAATATATGAATGAATATATACATATTCATTGAATGTGCAAATAAGTTTAAATTGATTTATCAGTGTAAAATCAGTGTGTATTACTTCAATGTATCGCAAATGACAATTCTTGTTAGATGGCATCTTCATTATGAGCAAATCAACTCAGGATTGTAAGCTAAATTTGTTTGTATAGCATCCCAGATCTATTATGCTTTGGTGTTAATGGGTTCTGTTTCAGCTCTAAACCTTTGGAAGATAAGTAACTTCGCTGAGACCTTCCTTTCTTTCCTTTTACTCCTACTTATTTCTGTTTATTTTTTCTGCAGGGAAGTGATGGCAGAGCAGGTCTCAGGTTTTACAGAGTAACACACTTTTTGTGTTTCTCTCCTCTCTGTGTTTTCAAATGTTCATGTCATCGTCTGCATGTGTGTGCAAGGACGTGTTACCTAGTCACCTCTGTTTCACCCTTGTAACTTCCTCCTTGTAGCTTCTCCCTGTTTTGCCCTTTGTGCCAAAATGTTTCAATCTTCAATACATTGAAACTTTCTTTGCACACCTAGAAACTGTAATTGAAGTCATGCATAGAGGATGAGGGAATTCCCAACATTATTGGACTCTTCCGGCTCTTGGCAGCAGGTCATGCGGCTTTGGGGCTCAGTCAGGTTCATTATGGAAAACAGTAAAGGAGTATTTAGCTTAGACAGAGATTGTTTTCTTCTCTTTCTCTGTTTTGTAAAAGCATAATTTCACAACTTTCATGATATTATAGTTTGGCTTGTTTCCCAAGATTTTGGGAAGAAAGATTGTGAAATGCTTTTAAGTTTGATAGTTTGGTTTATTTTTGAACTGTTTAAATAAACTGACTAATCTCCTCATCCTGTTTTGATTAACATCTAAAAGAAACATTTTTTTCCACAAACACTATTTTATAGGCAGGCTTTACACGTTAAGTATTTTGTAGTTTTCATACATTCCATTTTCAAAAAACTTTCAATGTATGTTTTTTTAATGAATCATCTTAAAATGATTAGAAAAAAAGATGGTTTCTTTAAGCTGTTTTTCATTTTGTGCTTCAGAGGGAATTTGTTCTTTGGCAACAGAGGAATAAGATAAAAAAAAGTGCTGAGAAAATAAAGCCTGATTCCAGGTTTGAGTTTGAATTTCTCTGAAATTGTTGAATATGTACTGTCCGACCCAATAAAAGGGGTCACCACCTGAATTTAACTAAGCAAATAGGTAAGAGCCTCTTATTGGATAATTACTGCATGGGTGATTTTGTTTCAACTGGCTAAAAGTACCTAACTGATGCGGTGAGGAGTTTTTTTATTTGTTAAACAGTGGAAAAGATGGTAATCTGTTTAGCATCAAGGAGAGAAAATATAGAAGAAGATTCTTGAAACTACTAGTATTGGGTTGAGAACTGTCAACACATTAAAAACTGGAAGGACAGTGGGGCGACATCATATCCAAGGAAGGAATGTGGTCAGAAAAAAATCTTAAAATGATCGTGATCGGCACAAAATATGAAGGAAATTTGAAGGATTGGGACTAAACAGCTGTGTAGCTGTAAATAAACATTTATCAGCTAGACTAAGTGGACAAAAATGGCTTCAATTAAAGATTGGACACTGGATCAATAGAAGGTCATGTGGTCTGATGAATCCAGATTTGCCCTGTTTTAGAGTGAAACAGGGTAAATTCAGAGGCGGCTGAAGTGATGCACCCATCAAGTGGCTACTGTACAAGCCTGTGGGACAGTTGGTCTGGTCTAGGTTCAGCAACATTCTGTATCCAAAGATTGAGGTCAGCTGACTACCTTTTATGTACTGAAGGACCAGGTTTTTCCATCAGTGGATTTTTTTTCTTCCCTAATGGCACGAGCACATTTCAAGATGACAATGTCAGGAATCATCAGGGTCAAATTGTTGGATTGGCCACCACAGAGTCCAGATTTGAACCCCATGGAGAATCTTTGGAATGTGTTGGAGAAGACTGTGTGCAATGGTCCAAATCTCCCTTCATCAATACAAGATTTTTGCGAAAAATGGATGCAACTCCAGACAGAAAAAAGATGGAGAATCTTGTGCAAATGATGCTACAGGGAATGCGTGCCATAATCAAAGCTTAAGACGGTTCAACTAAATATTAGTATGACCTTTTTTTATTTTGTTGTTTGGCTATGTACAGTAACAATATGCATTAAGTTTATTAATAGACATACCATAATTATCATAATTTTGTGACTTCACTTTGTGAGTCAGCACTGTCAGCAGTTGATAGTATGATTGTTCTCAGAAGCTCTCGGTTTCTCTACAGTCCAAAGTCTGATATTTTGACTGACTGTAAAGTACTGATAGAGACTGGTTCCCAGGGATTGGTAAGCCATCAAGGTCACAGCCCTGCAGCATCACCATAATCAGCTGAAATGAAAGCCATGCTTTTTTTCTTTCCATGTTTGTTCATTTTTCCATTTTCAGAAAAAAATATTTTTGATGCTGAAGTTTGTTTTCCATCTGATTATATATATTTAAAAATGAAATAAAGTAATAGTTTTTTGAGAGTAACTTCCCTTATCTACATTCCCAATTCTTAAAGCTGAGACATGTAATGTGTAAATAAAAACAATTCAGTAACTTACAAATATCATAAACTAATTTGTTTCACATTGGTTCAAACGTTTAAATTAAACTGTACCATTTTCGGAGGGGAAAAAAATGAGTTTTAAATTTGATTGCAGCAACAGATCTCAACATGTTTGGGACAGAGTAATGTTTACCAACAGCAAAACATCCTCTTTTTTTAATGACAACCTAAATGAACTGAGTAGGCCAGTTGCTGGAAGTTTTGGAGGAGAATGTCTCATTCCTGTCCGATGTATGATTCTAGCTGTTCATCAGTCCAGTTGTCCAGGCTTCTTGGCTGGATTTCCCATTTTATGACTCACCAAATGTTTTTAAATTTTTTTATTAGTAAGAGTTCTGTACCCAGAGCACACAAGACTCCTTTACTGTAAAGCCATGCTGTTGTAATATAATGCAGTTTAGTATTGTCTTGCTGAAATATGCAAGGCCTCTGTCGAAAAAGATGTAATCTGGATGGGATCCCATGTTGTTCTGTAAACCTTTAATGCATGTATTAGCATTTATGGTGTCTTTCCAGGTGTGTAAGCTGTCTTCACCATTGACACTAATGTACCCTCATACCATTAAATATCCAGACTTTTGAACTTGCCACATGGTCCCTTTCCTCTTCAGTATCGAGGATGTAGCATCTGTGGTTCCCATTGGCTAACTAAAGAGCAGTTTTACACTTTTCATCAGTCCATTTCCAGCAGCATTTTTAAAAAGTGCTCACGTGGCTGCTACTTGTTCCATTATATCTTTTCCTGATAGATTTTTAACCTGGTTTTGTGGACAGCACCTTAAATTGTGTTTACAGACATGGATTTGTGGAAGTGTTCCTGAGCCCATACAGGGATCTCTGTAACAATCAGGCTTTTTTGATGTTGCACAGCCTGAGGGTCTGAAGATAATTAGCATCTAATGGTGACTTTCAGCCTTGTCCTTTGATTACAGAGATCTCCCCAGATTCTTGAAATATTCTGATATTATGAGCTGTACACAATGGGATATTCAAAGACTTCCTGATTTTCTGTTGATGAACATTCTGAATTGTTTCATTACATTAAGATGCTTTTTTCAGTCTTCTCATCTTTATTTCTGAAACATTTAAACCCTCTGAAGTGCTCTGCTTTAACCCAGTCCTCTTTATAATCTGTTGCCAAATAACTTAATTTGTTACAAAATGCTCCTAGGTGTTTATTTGTACCACTTACTTTTACAGCTTTTTGTTGCCCATCTTAACATTTTTGAGATGTGTTGCTGCCATAAAATACACAATTCGTTTTTTTCTTTCCCCCCAAAAAAGATCAAATTATCTTACTATGTTTCATTGTGAATTCATTTATATTTGCAAATCATTGCTTTCTATAAACAATGTTTTCGAAATAGAGGTTGTATTTTTTTTTTTTTTTTTTTTTTTTTTTTACTTTTAATGATATTGTTCCCTTCACTCATTAGGATTTTCAAGGTCTGCACAGTATCAGGTTGTATCAGTAATGGGCAAGTGACTGCATGTATGGGAAACTGCATGTCTGCCTGTTTTGAGTAAATGCTTGAGCCTTTGTAACTGCATGGGTAACTTTGTAAAGTACGCTGAAAAAATAACTTGTGTACCTTTTTAACTGAGTCATTATGTAAAAAGAACTTGAGAATCATTTATTAGTGCAAGATGGAAAAACTTTTTTGAGCAACAGTCTAACCAATCGTTGCAGCTGAGGGTAAGACTGTAGCTGCTGCTGGTGTGAAATGCTTTTACAGAAGACAGTCGTCATTACAAAGAGCGTGTCTGTTGTATAGTGAAACTGTGAACTGGAATTCCTGAGCAGTGACTGAAAAAAAAATGTGAGCTGTAAGGTTGGTACTAAAAGCAAGACTTTCAAGTTGGGCTTGTGACACTTTGGTCAAGGTTGAGGCTTATATTTTCTTCTTGCTTCCAAATATAGTTAATTATTTGTTTTATGAAGCAAAGATTGGTAGAATAAAATGTGTTGAACTGGTCTGTACTTGTTGTGCTTCTACCAGTCACACTTAACAAAATATGCGCACTACAAAAAGTCTAACCTGACCAGAGACGTGCCTGCATACTTTCAGTAAATCTGCCTTCCTGTGTGGTTGTATATGCCCTTTTATTACGAGTGTTTACCAACAGCTTGACAAATAACTGCTTTTGTTGCTAATTCTACTGGCTTAGTGTTAGTCAGTCTAAATATGTTTTGAGATTATTACTATTTTTTTATTTTGGGAAAAGAAAACAGCAACTCACAAGTTCATGTGTCGTCAAAGTCTTTTCAAAAGTTATGCAACGTGTGTGTGTGTGTGCGTGCGTGCGTGCGTGCGTGCGTGCGTGTAAGAGTGTGGCACGGCACTGGGAAAAACAAAGAGCTCCTCCTAACATTTCAAAAACAAACATCCAACATGTTCATGTAACTACTACGTTCACATATTGTGCGTGACATGAATGTTTTTTTTCCCTGTTATGGCATGGTTTGTTTATTGTAGTTTCATTCTTATTTATTTACTGATGAAGTTTTCTCTTCTTTCAGACCCTCTCCACAGGTACCAGAGTGATTACAGCTCATCCAGTGAAAGCCCCTCAGTGACCTCTGATCCAGATTACAGACAAGGTAACACACGTCTGTGGGAAGCTTTGTTTTCATATTTTATAACAAAGTCATTCACAATATTATTGTGTTTAAGGTGCCGGTGTCAGGCATCCATTCGATTTTACATTATAGAGCAAGAGACTTTATTTATTTATTTATTTATTTATTTAAATTGTTTTACTTTGGAAATTTAATCAGTGGATAATTCATGCATAGCAGCTTAATTTCTTTCCACATTTAAAAACTTTTTGTCTCCACCTTCAACTGATGCTGTAAGTATATGTTTTTAATTAAAACACATTCTGCACAAGGTTGTTGTGAACCAAATGGAAGTTTGTAAAATGATTGAAGTATTTACTAGCTGTTTGTACCTTTTACTAGACTTCATATCCTGAATCACATCCTATATTTTTTTTCATGTTCCCTGCATTTACAAAGTAAATTAAAAACAATTAAATAAAACTAGTATTTTCTGAAGGAGGCAAAGAAATAACAGAAGCCTTAAGGTACCATTGTGAAGAAATTTATAAGTGTTCCAAAACTAAAGCCTGATTTAATTTATAATAAGTGAAACAAGCAGTAAATGATATTTACAAGACTTTTGGGAAGCTTGTTGTATATTTGTTCTTTAAGTGTTGTTTTAATACAATAGCGGCCATATATACACACTGTTAAAGCAGGGAGGCAAATTGTCTTTTGTGGTTCTAGCTTGAGTTGCTGAAACATGTTGGAGCAGGTTTATTCACACCACCTTGTGGGCGGCTGCATCTGGAGGGAGTGTGTTTGTTGAATCAAACAAAATGCTGTCCTTTTTTGTGTTTGTGTGCCTGTCCTTTTTTGTGTTTGTGTGCCAATGACACTCCCATGTCTCCTGCAGCTAAGAGACCTGGTGAGGTCAAGAGGTTTGGCTCTCAGCTGGCACTTTCATCAGAACATGACGCCCTGTCGTTGGCGGGTCACAACATAAACAGGCACAGGTAACGCAACGGACGGTTTACTGCCTCACCTATCTCATATCCCTTCAGGCTAGCCCCTCTTGATGTGCCTCAACTCAGTTTTAGTGCGAGTTTCTTCTCTAGAAAAAAACAAAACAAAACACCAGAGAGGCTTGTGACTTGAAGAAACCATGTCTAAATCTGTGATCTCATTTTTAAAAAACAGTTTTGCACTTCTGGCACACAGTTTTATTCCTTCTGTTAACAAAACTTGGTACTTGTGCATGCAGAAGTCAAACCATGTAAAGATCTGTTAGCACTACAAATAAACTGTCAGCTTATAAACTGTGTCATTTTTGGTATTACCTCAGCTTATGAGGAACGTCCACCATATAAAAAGTGAAAACCCTCAAAAATATGAGTAGAGTTGTGATGAGCCACTAAAACAAAGCCTATTTTTATAAGTTTGTGGATGTTGTAGGCTTATCCTAAATCACTTGTCACCATTATAAGTTTGATATGTAATTTTTCTATATTCATGTTATTCTGGTCATTTGTGTTTTGCTATAGCACGTTCTACCAGACAGATGGTGAGAGATGTGATTCACTCCGCACAGACTGTTAAGCCATCACTTTAATGCTCCCCCACAAAATTAAACAATTACAAATTAACCAACACAAAATGCAGTCATAAGGAGAACAGTGCAAATTAAATACAAAAGTTCCACTGAAAAACTTTCTAGCTGTGACTCCCTGGTACTGTTTTTATTTAATTGAAAAGAAAAATGAGGTTTGGAGGAATGTTATGTTCAATAAATCACATTAAACTAAAACTATTGCATTTTATTTTTATTAATTATCTGGAGGGAACTCTGAATCCAGACTGCTAATGCTTCATTTAGACTAATTATAGTACCAGCTGTGCACTTCTGACTAAACCGTGGCTTATGTAAAACAGATTCATTGTTTGATGATTGAGTTTGTGTGCTTGCCAACTCACATCACATCACTGTTGTATCGAGTTGTACTTTTGTCTCCTTCTTAATTTTCTTCCTTTGAAGAGCAGCTTTCCACTAAACAGGAAAGCCACAGACAAAGCTGTCTCGTTTGGTCCAGTGGGCCACACACACAGCTGGTATTGCACAGCAGGATGCTTCACTAGTGAGGTCATTTAACGTGACATTTGCATTCATTCGTCTCGATCTCTTAAAGCTCTGGCATTACAGACCTAAACGGCCTGCTTGTTGCTGTGCCTTTTGTCAGAAAAACAATGTTTTCAGTTTGTCTACTACAGAGCTTCGTTCCAAACACTGGCTTGTATTTTATGACAGACGTTCTCCAGCTAACAGTTGTTTCTCTGCAGGCAAAATGAGGGGTCAGCAGATGAAGGTCTGGTTGGAGCAGAGTTGCTCCTCCAGAGACAAGAGGAGGTGGAACGGCTCCAGACACACCTGGCCAAAAGGCTGTCCAGGGCCAACTTTTACCCCGCAGACGAGCCCCTGATCGACCCCCAAGACCCGCTTTACACTTCTGCTATATCGCTTCGCAAAAACAAGGTTTGTCTTCACTGTGACTCAGCATCTAGTTATGTGCTGTTCATATAATGACCCTGCAATCTCTCATAATGACACGTCGAGATTGTTTGATCTGTCTGTCTGCTACAAGGCTTCATGTTTTTTGTGCTATGAAAACCCACAACGACCAACTCCAGAGAGCCACCAGTTAAACTCATTTACTGCAGTACAAACGTGCAGGAAACTCAAAGTTCATTTATTAAGCTAGATTTAATTATGCCTGTAGAGTTTTAATTTTAAAAGCTCATTTGTTGCAAACATGTTAATTTTGTGCTCACGTAATGTGGCGTTAGTGCAAACTGCTGCCTGCACAGTGTAATTAATGTCAGCCTTTGCTTGTAAAGATCTTTTACAGAATACTTTGATTGATCACAAGTTGTGTAAAAGTGTTAAATGTAGGTACAAATCTGCTGATCTTGGCAGTAAACCTCAAATACTATGGAAATAAAATTATTAGATTATTCAAATGTGCATGTCTTGTGTTGGTAAGTAGATCAGATGTAGGGAAAGCTTTTGCTGAGCTTTCATTGCACCAGAAAACCAGTAAAGTCTTCTAATTTTGATCTGTAGGAGAGTGATGCTTTTATACAAAACGTAGTGTTGTAATTGTTAATAACCTCAGAGTCCATTAACCCTTTTTAAAAAAAAACTTTTTTTTTTTTTGCAAAAATGTCAGAACTTTCTTGGACCAGAGTTTGTGAAAATGGCCAGTGAGCCTTGCGTGCCCTTAACTGTGCCCTCTTCAATAATGGTAGGTTTTTTTTAAATGCATCCACCTTGAAGTCAGCATATCCACGTCTCATTTGTAATTATTGCTGTATTTTTTTCCCTCCACTAACAAGAAACGTGGTAAGGGAGAAGAAGTGAGGAGGAAGGTGGGTGTGGTGCTGCTAAATGGTCAGAAACTGGAGCTGAGCTGTGACATCAAGGCAATTTGTAAAGATGTTTTTGATATGGTGGTGGCTCACATCGGGCTTGTGGAGCACCATCTCTTCAGCCTTGCTTATCTCAAAGGTAATGTTTGTTGCTCTCAGATATGTCTCTATGTAATTTGCACTACTGATATTTTATAGTATTGCTTTGAATTTTAGTGTACAACACTGGCTTTTTGAAAATGTGCTTAAATGATTTGATTTAGTAAATCAGTCTGAGTGGTTCTTCTCCATGCTGATGCCTCTTTTCTTATCTTTCATCTTGAAATTCACACAGAAAATGAGTTTTTCTTCGTTGATTCTGATGCCAAACTCATTAAAGTGGCTCCAGATGGATGGAAAGAGGATCCTAGGAAAAGACGATCCGACGTGCCATTTACCCTTTTCTTGCGCATCAAATTCTTCCTCGATGACGTCAACCTCATACAGTAAGGGCAAATTTTAGTCATTGTCAAGTTATTTAAACTCTTGTGTTAGCATGACAGTTCTAACCAAAAATATTTCTCTCTTTTTGTTTATGGTAAACAGACATTCTATGACTAAACATCAGTACTACCTGCAGCTGAGGAAGGATATTTTGGAAGAAAGGATGCGCTGCAGCACAGAAAATGCATTACTGCTGGCTTCACTGGCATTGCAAGCTGAATTTGATGACTACCAACCCGAGGTACTGAACCCTCTTTCTACATACTGTATATTAACATAACAATAATTTAAGTGCTGATTTGCTCTTTTTTTGTCTCCTGTGATAATACATTAATCTCTTCTGTGCGGCAGCTTCACGGGAAGACCTATTTTCGACTGGAGCACTACATGCCCGTGTCTGCCTTGGATAAGGTGGACCACACAACCCTGAGGGAAGAACTGCCAAAACTTCACAGCAACTACTACGGAGCATCAGACACTGAAGCAGAGTTTGAGTTCCTTAAGGTTAGCAAAATAATAAACTTTAAAGAACTCAATGTCCTTTTGTAGATTGAGAAAAAGTTGCCATTATTTGCTCCTAATTTTTATTTTCGTATGAACATTGGATATATTGTACTTAAGAAGTACTAAGAATTTGAAATCGGTTACTGATTATTGCTTTTTAGTAAAACAAATGAAGTAATAAATGTTGCCACAGTCTCTGAATTGGCATCAATGATAAGTTGTTAGAGAGACTAAGCAGCACTGTCACTGAGGAGAAATCCATGGATTGGTAACACTTCTCAGAGTAAATAAGAATGATGTAAAAAAATAAATTCAATGTCCAAGTTCTATCCACGATATATTCTTATTTTGAAGTATTTATTTACGCCTTAAAAATAGGTTGCTGTGTGTCACTGAGCAAAATTTGAAAACTTTTTTTACAAAAGGCAAAAAAGTTATACAAGAATTGACAAATGCGAGACCTAGCTTTTTTTTAAAGGAAAAGAGCTAATATTTTTTAATCTGCATGTCAACACCAATCTCTACTGTCTTGTACTTTTTAAACATTTCTTAATATTTCAAGTCTTTGTCTCAAAGGTGAGCCAGAGGCTGACAGAGTACGGAGTCCATTTCCATCGAGTGCTTCCAGAGAAGAGATCTCAGACAGGCATCATGCTGGGGGTCTACTCTAAAGGAGTGCTCATTTTTGAAGTCAGTAATGGAAATCGTACCCCAGTGCTAAAGTTCCCCTGGAGAGAAACCAAGAAGATCTCCTTTGCAGTACGCATTTTTTCCCCCTCTGTATTTAAAAGCTAAACAGTTGCACTTATTTGTTTCCAGTGTATATTTCCTCAAATGGTCTTCCCCTTAAATTATGTTTTCTTATCTTTAGAAAAAGAAAATCTGCCTTCAGAACACATCGGATGAGATTAAACACCTATTTCAGACAGACAGCAACAGGACGTGTCAGTATCTGCTGCAGATGTGTACAGATCAACACAAGTTCCACCTGCAGACGAAAGCACGCCAAAACAATCAGGAGCTGCAAGATCTGGGTACGTGAGAAGGATTCAGATCCTCATCCCTAACCCTCATGTTCACAGAATGAGACCTCAAAGTGAAATCATTTGGTTAACTACAAGTTTTAATGCTTGTTTACAGAAGAAGCTTGTTTAAAGGTGGCACATCAGGATGTTTTTTCTTCAGTATTCTCATTCTGCTGCTGTAGAAAACTCTAAACAAATGTATAATTATTAATTATAGTCCTCCTTTGTTTCTTCCTGCACATCAGAGAACAACCCTTTGAGCAATTTGCAGTATTCTTTTGATCCGGCTGCGAGGACGGTGACGGCAGGCAACCTGATCCCCAGCTTATCAACGCGCTCCAACCCGGACCACCTAAAGAGGATCTCGTACTCCGAGGCGTCCTTGAACAATGCCCTGTCAGGCTCGGTGTTAGTCCACGATGCGCTTCACCTTCCAGGCTTCAACCCACCCGTCTCCACGGCCCTTTCCAAGCCACGACTGATGAGTCGTTCCCACCACAACCTGGCGCGGCTGTCAGAGTCTGCAGAGCACCGAACGGACGAGTCAAACGGCAGGGTGGTCCGACCACCGTCCAACCAAGTGGCCTCCCATTTCCAGCAGCATCAGCGAGCCAGCTCAGACACAGACTCTCTTGCACCCCAACAAGACAAGTAAGATCAGAGAAGTAATCATTTACATATCTTGAATATAATACAAAAATTCTGAATGTTTATTTGGACACACGAAGGATTGTTTTTTTTCCAAGTTTTTTTAGTAGTCTTTAGGATTTTATTTCAAATATAATAAAAGAAGTAGGGTTTTATGTCTGCTGAGATCTTTTCAGTAAGTGTGTGTGTGTGTGTGTGTGGGCCAACAGGAGTAAGGTTAC